GAGAATGTTACACTCTAAGAGTCAATATCTCCTGGTGATCCCTGGCCCAAAGAACGTCTGCTTATCCTCGACCAGGGGCCAGGGCTTTTTCTGCCCTGGCCCCCACCTGGTGGAACATGCTCCCTATCGAGAGCAGGGCCCTGCGGGATCTTATTCAATTCTGCAGGGCCTGCAAGATGGAGCTGTTCTGCCAGGCCTTTGGCTGAGGCAGCAGGCATCCACACATGGCCTCTCCAAAGTTGTTGTCTCCCACCTACTGATAACCGGTCATACCTAGTTACATCAATGGGCCAGATTCTCCCTACAGCAAGCATGGCTATTGATTTATATGTTTTAATGTGTTTACATTTTATTGTATTTATTAAACTGTTGTGACCCGCCCTGAGCCCGTTTACGGGATGGGCAGGATATAAATGGGAAAAATAAAACAAAATAAATAAACTGTGTAGAATTGCACTATAAATGTGGCTTTAAGACTGTAAGCTTAACTTGCCAGCTCCTTTACTTGCTAAGGCAGGAAGAATATTTTGTATAATCATGCCAAGTAGACTCACCCAAGTTCTTCTGAATTAGCCTTTGTCTTTGTTCCTAATTGTATAGCAGGGTGGTGCATGGCTGGATTTTTTCTTAAAAGTTCAATATTTTTCCCCCCTGCCACAGTGAATCTCTCTTCTCTCCCTAGTTGTCCAGGAAGAAATATAAGCCAATGGCTTAATCTCTCCCTTTCCCCTGCTGCTCCAGTTGCCTAGCCTGCAAATATGTCAGATGCTGAATTCAGGGTAACTTAAGGTGGGGTTCAGAACTGAGGGACACAGAGTCACAAAAGGGAGGACTGAACTGCAGAAGAACCCAAGAACAGTGTTACAGCCCTGATCAAAGTACTGGACTTTGGTGAGGGGTCTGGAGACCAAGTCCTATGAGGAAAGGTTGAAGAAGCTGGGTATGTTTATCCTGGAGAGGAGACAACTGAGAAGTGATATGATAACCATCTTCAAGTACTTGAAGGGCTATCATATGGAGTTGTTTTCTGTTGCCCAGGGGTCATTTTGTAGAAAAAGAGCTGCAGGAGCTCATTAGCATACAGTCGCATACAGTATGCTAATGAGCTATTAGGCTATTAGAATAATAGCTCATTAGCATATGTAATGTCAGAAGGGGAAGCAAAAGGGGGGGCAGGCATCTTCAAAAGCCTCCCCTTCCCTTCCTCAGTGTGTGGGGGGGAGCGAAGAGAGAAGGAGTTTAAAGTTTAAACCCCTTCTCACTAGAGTTGGGCCGCAGAAGGAGGAAAGAAAGAAGGAAAGAGATAGAGAGAGTAGAGAGAAGGAACGAAGGAAGGA